GCCCGCCGGGAAGCCGAGGCGAGCGGGCAGGGGGCTGCGCGCCTCCCCCGGCCCCGTGTGCCCCGCAGCCTTCCAGGCTTTGCAGAGCCGGAGGCTGGCAGACATCCTGACCTCCTCCCGCCCTTGCCCCTGGGCAGCCCCGGCTCGCAGCCAAGCTGCAGCGCTGCCCCGGAGACTCGCTGAGCCCCGGGCGGGCGGCGAGGACCCAGGTGCCCCAGGGCCTGAGGCCTCGGACACCTGGGAGTCGGCTAGGTGAGAGATGCCCTTGGCACCCGGGCTGGCAAGCCGCATCTCCGTGCTGCAGAGGGAGAAAGAGCCCAGAGGCGCGTGTGCACGGGCAGCGGGAGAGGGAAGGTCGTTAGTAAAGCCCCTTCTTAGCATCCAGTGACATAAGCTGCTGCTGACGGGGGGCTGTGCATCCCCTGACTTCGTCAGTCGATAAGGTGCAAATCTACCCCGCCTTGTGCCATCAGTAACGAGACGTCGTAACCTCGTGTCTAAGCAGCACCCGGCGCATAGACCAGCACCTTGTGCTGTCGGTAAAGCAGCATCATAGCTTCATATCTAAGCAGCACCCAGTGCATAGACCGGCATCTTGTGCTGTCAGTAAAGCAGCGCCGTAACCTCGTGTCTGAGCAGCACCCAGTGCATAGACTCAGCCAGCCCTGCCAGTCAGACAAGGGTCCCTGCTTCAGTCTGTAGGCTGGATTGGGCCGTGCCAGAGCCAGCATGCAGGGCTGGGCCAGCAGGATGCAGCATGCACCCCATGCCAGCCCCCTGAGCCGTGAGCAACAGCTGCAGTGTCAGGCCCAGCTTTTGCGCCACAGGCAGCACGAGCCTGGAGTGGGGCTGGCACATGCTCCATGTGAAGCATGGGCTGGACCTGGTGCTGCAGGCGCGGCAAGTGGCACAGGGCCTGGTGTGCAACACCCCTGGCATAGACCATCTTTCCTGCCCCCACTCAAGAGGCTGAGTCCTGAAATCCTGGTGCCAGTGTTAAGCCAGCGCAGCTCCAGCACTTCAAGGGAGCTGGATTCTGACCCTGGCCTGAATCCAAGCTGTGTTTCTCCCTGGTCTTGGCAGGGCTGCCGCTAGTGGTAAGGGCTTTCAGGGATAGTTCTGGTGTCTGCAGCTTGGATTCAGCTCTGACTGAGCCGGGGGAAGCTCTCACTTGCAGGCCCCGCTCAGCCTAAGTCCGAACCAGGCTGCAGGGGACCCTGCCTGGGGCGGGAGCAGACTAAATGACCTCTCTGGGTCACTTCTTGTCATCTCTGCTGTGATTGCATGGGAGACTCTGCGGAGCCTCAGCTCGTTGCATTTCCTCGGGCTTCTTCCGTCAGCAGAGGCGAGTGCGAGTTTTGCTCCTGCCTTTGGAAGCGGCTCAGACAGGTTACTTCTCAGCCCCAGAGTACCGGGAACGCACCGGTGGTTTAAAGCCACCTCGCTCCCAGCTCAGCGGGCACGCGCTGTTCCCACGGCAGGCAAAGGACCTGAGGAACTGGGAGCCAGGCCCCTTACAGGCGCAGCTCAGAGCCAGGACCAGTGGGCCAAATTCTGCTCCGACTGAGGCTGCCTTCAGGTAGCTGTTGCGGCCCCTCACCAGCAGCCTAGGTGCTGACTTTGTTACTGCAAATGTATGACCAAGTAGCTCAAAGCAGCTTGATGTGAGCAGGTAGGTGGGTAGATAGGTCATCTATGGCCAGCCCCTCCCTGCTGGTTTAGAGCAGTCACATCTCGATTTCCTCTCCCCATTTGACTCCCCGCTGTTCCCACCTGGACGCGACGACAGCACGTCAATATTGTGCCGCTGTCGGGACCCTGCCGGGTGCCCCCGTGCAACCGGGCTGAGGCGGAGTGGAGCATTTTCCTTGCCCAGCTTCGGTGCAGAGAGCCCCCCTAATCATTACACGTGTGCATGAATTATAACAACTCAGCAGGCAGATGGCATGAAGGCAGGCCGAAAACGGGCTCATCTGAGGGAAATAACCACCACTGGCTTCTTCCCCAAGCTCAGCAGCGTGGCAGGGCCCATCTCAGCTGCAACGCCTTCAGGCCAGGTCAGGCAGCCTCTCTCCCCTTCTCCCAGTTCTGCAAGCTGTTCACATTCAACTGGGAGCCTGACCAACCATCCCCCTCCGGTTTGGTGAGGGAAGAGGAAAACCCACCCGCTCAGCCCAAGTGCAGTCTGAGTCCCATCCCTCTGTGGCTGGGGGAGAGGGGTGCAAAGCGGAGGGGAAAGATCAGGGCTGGGAGAACGCTGCTTCTTCACTCCCTCCAATCCAGAGGCAACCAGCATAGGTTGCTCAGCCCTGCAAGCCAGGGGCTGTGGAAGTACATCACCGGTGGGGGGGACTGAGAGAGGCATGGAGTGGGGGCAGAGAGGCCCTGGGCCTCCGCGTGTACATGGGATTCCTCCTTTCAGGGCCCCAAGCGGACCGGGGAGGGCTGTGCCTCCAGCCCACAACACCCTCCTCTCCCGGAGGAGAGGATTCTGCAGTAATTCCCATTTCCCAGCCCTCCCACAGGGTTTTCCATGAGACGCTGGGTCCTGTAGCCTTAGGAAGAATCCTCAACACACATCATTAATCACCGGGATATTGGGCAGCGTGGCCCTGCCCTTTCACGAGGGTTCATTTAATGCCGCATGACTTTTCACTTTCACTCAGGGAGTTTCAGGCTCAAATGAATCCTGAACCCACTGCAAAATCCATCGTTTGGGGTTTCACCTCCTTTCGTGCCTTATATACAAAAGCATTCACCTCGCCCAGCTTCGGTGCAGAGAGCCCCCCTAATCATTACACGTGTGCATGAATTATAAGGACTCTGATTCATTTGCAAAGCTCAGGTGTGTCAGCCGATACCACCGCAAGCTGGGCCTGGATTTCAAGGTTGTAACGGCATCAGGAGCCAGGGGACTTGGGTCCAGGCTGTGGTTTCCCTGCAAATGATGTGTTGTGCCTTGCGGCTACCCCCGGGCCATAGCTGACCTGGGAAGGACTGTACAAGTCTAATGCGATTTTTATGCCGTTTGCTTATTGATTTATTTAGGGTGAAAGAAACCAAGCGAGTCCGTTCAGTCTTCTGATGTCGGAGGGGCGAGAGGGTGCTGACTGGTGTGGAACCCACCAGCTTTGGCACCAAAACCTGCCCTTGGCCGCAGTCATCACAATGCAAGGAGAACCCATTCAGCTGTACATAGCAGGAGACTGAAGTCCCAGGAGCCAGCTGTCGAGGGGGAATGGGGCCAAATATCCTAGCCAGTTTAGTAGGTGTGCTGATGCCCTTGTTTGCCATCTGTATTGCATGCGTGTCAATATAATTAGCTAGATTAATATTATCATTCCTGCATGGGAATGCTTCCATGGGAGCAGCTGAGCTCTGGGGCAGGGAGGGGGCTTCTCCCAGGAAGCACCTGCCCTCCTCTCTCGTGTGGACCCGGCCGTAGGAGCGCTCTCTCCTCGGGTCTGCCCTGCGGCGCGCTGTTCCCAGGCCTGGGTGGGTCAGGCGTTGGGAGTCAGTTCAGCAGCTGCACACCTCCGCGCAGGCTTCTGCTCTCCTCTGAGAGACTGGCAGGGCACCAGGAGCAGCCGCCGGGCAGTTTGCCCAGGCCCATAAAGCATCCCTCGGAGCGCTGCTGCCACACACCCTATGATCCCTGTAACCGAATGATTGCTGGTGCCTGTGTCAGCACACCCCTGGCCAGCCAAGCAGGGCACGGGGGCAGCCCGTGCCAGCCTGTCTCTTCAGGCTGCAAGCAAAGGGTCCGGGTAGTTTAAATCCAGCTGTCCCACCCCTCCCCTGCCCTTCCCAGCAGACTCTCCCCTGCCTCCGCTCTGCTTAGGGGGTGCAGGGCTGTCCTCTCCCAGCAGCTTGTTGGGATCGATCGTGGGGAGGGACGTACCTCGATGCACTGCTGAGCCTCCCAGCCAGGGCTCCCCTAAATACGTTGTGTCACGTGTCATGTCCCATCCTCTCCCCATCCGGGCGGTGCTCCCTGCCTCATCCCCGCGTCCACCCATTCCAGCTCCTTTCTGCCTGCCCCTGCAGCCTGGTCTCACTCCGGTGCTCCTGTAGCCCCAGTCACCACCTCTCTAAGCTCCTTTCCTACAGGATTTAATACAAAGGCACCCAGAGCAGGAAGGGCTGGGTTGGGTCACCAGGGTTGGGACCACAGTCTCCACTTACCTCCTCGCAGCACTGGCATTAGAGACAGGTCCCTGGCCCCTAATCTCTGGCTGGGGTAGGGGCCAGGTTGCATCTAGCACAGGGCAGGGTGGACAAAGTGGTCACTTCTCCCCTAGCTGCTGTAGTCTGTGGGGAGCGGGTCTCCCAGGCTGGCTGGGAGTCTTTGAGACACAAGTGCCCGTTGCGTCTTGAGCAGGAGATTGTCACTCCAGTCCTAGCCTCCTCCACAGCCCTGTCCGGACTCCAGGTTGGGCCTGGACATGCAAGGACTGGAGGTGCTGGCGAGAGGCAAGCTGCAGCGGCCACAGGGGTCTGCTCAGCTTCCCCCCCTACCCCATGCCTTGCTGTGGCAGCTGGCATGGGCAGAGCCCGGGCATCCCTCGCTGCACCCGTGCACACAGAGAGGTGTGTTTGCAGCTATCCCAGG